ATGTGAGGGGCCGGGAGAGTGGCAGCAAGCAATAATTGGAAGGGGGCAGCTGGACAGCAAGAATGCGGTGTCGGGAGGGCGGCAACAACCTGGAAATCGCAGGGGGAAGTCGCAGCAGCAAGGAATGGGGGCAGCGAGGGCGGCAAGAATACGAGATGGAAAAGAGAAGGAAAGATGTGCAAGTAGTCACCACCTTAGAGCAGGACACACCTGGAGCACAAGCAAATGTAGACGCCGCAACAGAAAAGCTTAAGCAAAAAATGAACTCTAAAACACAAAAAACACACATCAAGACTAGTAGATGGGTAGGAAAGATGGGGCCACCTCCTATTTGGGCAGCAACCTAATTCCTAGGGTCGGTCAGCCCTAATTCCCTACCAGCTAAACTAGTTTAACCTTAAAGGGCAGCATCCGATTCAGCCATGAGATCGCCGTGTCACATATATCGATAGACAATCTTTTTGAAATACAAAAGGCTTAAATATAACTTATGATATGTGCAATTTAAGCTTTCATCAGCTAAAAAAAGTACTAAAGTTTAAATTTCCTTCAATGTGTTTCTCATTAATAAATTTCTTGAAATGTTTATGTGATTTAACTCTCTCTCAATAAGAATCCTTATATGAATTAGTATATCTAAAAACTAAGAACCAAATGTAAAATCAATTTAACTCTCCACATAAGATTATAATGAATGGGCAGAGCTAGATCAATCTACCAACACAATAATTTTAGAATTTGCATATTTGTACCGATTAAATACAAGAAATTGTCTACAGTGAACCCATCTTTTAAAAATCCTTTCAACAAGAAAAGAGAAACTCAACCACCTGATAAATATACCAGTAGGTCTTGCAGGTTCAAAATTCACATTTTAGGATGAAGATAACTATATTATTTCAGCATGGCTATGAAACTCCAAAATATGGAAAGTAAGTTAAATTTACAAGTTCCTCACAACAACAAATGAAGCTTTTATAAACAATTCATAGTTCATAGATGCTCAGGACAAAATTTTAACTACCACAGAAGGTGACCCGTACGTCATGAAATGTGGCTTTTATAAACAGGTTTTTGGTCGGAGTTAGACAAATATCAAGGTATACGACGAAATATGGTGAAAATGTTGTAATTCTCAAAAAATCCATAGAAAGAGAGTCCCTGAGTTCCTTACTAGTCTTAATATAGAGCTTCATCAAGTTTATATTCACTTCATCCCTTTGCTGAGTTCTCCTATGATAAACAATCATGATGGAATCACCGAGGTTAGAAGATTGACCATGATAACTAAGGTTCACTATATAACCTACTAAGATTTAAAGGCAAAAATTCCATAAAATGGATATTTTTTGTAATTATTGCAAGAAAAAAGTGCATGTCAAGGAAAACTATTGAAAACTCCATGAAATAGCTCTAAGATCATGGTGGAGAATATAAAAGGAACCAATTGAAGGGATAGGCTCACTTCATGGAGTTAAGAGGGCTCAACTTAGAACAAATTGACAGACAAAAGAACTTCACTTGAAAAATCATCAGGTTATATTCTGTAGCTCAAAATAGTATAACATCCAATTTTTTCATAGTATCTCCAATAAATTATCTTTTAATACCTAGGTGAAAAGACTCCAGTGCTGCTGACCGCAAGACAAAATCTGCTAATGCATGTCTAACTTACCAACCATTTCCCATGAATAAATAAATAAATCAGAGTAGCCAATGGTTCCCTAGCCACCATTGCAAGCCAATGGACTAAAACTATTCCCCTTTCATTCAACATTAGTAAATATGGTACATATTACTAACCTTGCTATAAATCAACGGTCTATTCATTAAAAAGCCAGAAATCAATTTTTGGGATTCAGGGCCTAATTATGCAGAAGATGACTGGGAAAGCTATACAAATGATTGATTGTACCAACTTGAAGACAAAAATGATTGCAAGACTTAATCAACTATCTCTATTCTGTCTATTAATTCAAATAAAGATAATGATTTGAATTAACAAAAGTCAGGCATTCATTGTTTAAGTTTTTGATTTATTTAAAATGCAATTAATGTTACAAATCATCACTGTGAAACTTATTTAGTTGTAAAACACCATAGGGTACCATTTCCTTAATTGAATCAAGATCAACCACTTTCTTTTCTTTTTCGAACACTCTAATATTTGGGGAACCTCAAGAATCCCTAATATCACGGGGGTCAAATAATTTGTCACATTCATTAATGATTGCAGTAGAATGGCATAAGTATATATCTCTTAAACAAAAATTTGAGATCATATCATTCACACCTTTATCACCATGATAAAAATATTGTCACAGATTATCTTGACTAAATATTGTTTACTATCCTTAGAAAAAAGGCATTGTTATCAATCTTCTTATCATGACACCGCACAATAAAATGGGATGGTGAAGATAAAAAAGAAAAGATATTTCCTTAAGGTAAACAAAACTCCCCTTCTTAAAATTAAGTCCCCAAAATATATTGAAAAAAAGATGATCTACCCTCCACATAATGAATTAATAAAATACTCTATAGAACTAACTATTCATTTCAAAAACCTCAGCAGAATCCCTCTAAAGTTATCTCATTATGTTCTTCCCTCAAAATAACTTCTTCCTACAAAAATTCATCCTAAATATTTGGTTGTGCATCATATGTCCACATGCATAAACATTGAGGTAAACTAGATCCAAGAGCACGTAAAGGTGTATTCTTGAAATATTCACCACCCGACAAAAATCAAAAGTTTATCCTTTAATATAAAAAAGAAATATTTATTTTAAAAGGTTTGTATTTAATATTAAAACAACCCTTCTTTAACAAAACATATCTCCAACAGGAAATTTTCAAAATCAAATAGTTGGATGAAATGACAAATCGTTAGCCTCACTCTTCAATCCCAGAAGGAAAATAATCTGTGTGAAGGTTATTATTTTCTCCAAAATGTAAGGCAACACTAAATTTCTCCAAAATGTAAGGCAATACTAAATCCATGACTGATAGACTAAGCTTACAAATAGGCAAAATAAAAAGGTGATATCTTTTAAAACGTTTTATAGAGAAAGCAGAATAATTTTTAATGTTGAACAAAACTTAGTGTATACAACAACAGCAAACAACAACAAAGACTTAATCCCACTAAGTGGGCGGCTACATGAATGTCGGCTACATGAATCATTTTCTCCATTGCGTCCTATATAGTGTCATATTTTCATTTAATTCTAATAAATTAAAATTATTTTTTATACAATAAGCCCAAGTCTTCCTAGGCCTACCTCAGTCTTTCTTAATATAAGTCGAATCTAAAACATATACTCTCCTAATCGAATCAAAAAGCATACACCAAGGTACAGCCTCCTGTAAATGTCCAGTAAGACCATCCATAACTAAAGCAAAAAGATATGGGGTTAAAGTCAATCCCTGATGTAATCCAGCAGAAATAGAAAAATATTCAGTCAATCCTCCTTATGTTCGAACACAAGTAACAGCTTTAGTATACATATCTTTAATGACTTGAATACAAGTCATATCAACACCTTTCTTCTTAAGAACTCTCCAAATGATATCTCTTGGAACCTTATCGTAGGCTTTTTCTAAATCAATAAAAATCAAATGTAGATCCTCTTTATTATCTCTGAACTTCTCCATCAAACCACTCAATAAATGTATAGCTTCCATAGTAAACCTGCCCGACATAAATCTAAATTGATTATGAGAAATCTTAGTGTATAATAAAAACAATTAGTAAAATAGGAGTACCATAAAATTTTAGAAAAGGAAGGGTCTCTGGAAATAGATCACACAAAATTACATTAATGATGCACTCATAAATTACAAACAATGTAACCAAAAGTTTCCAACACAACAGGATTACGTCAAACATATATTTAATTTGTATATTTGTGTATCTATTATGGATATGATTTGAGCAGTAACTATAATAGCATTGCACTTAGCCTGCCAAAGAGAATGTTGTGACTCAATTTTTAAAACACATATGAGATTGCAAAAAACAATCAAGATTAGAATAGTGTTCACTATTGTATATGATAGTTTATAATAGTTAAGATCTCTTTCAAAACAAGTGACAAGTTAGAGAATGATACAAATTTTTAAATGATGCAAGCTTAATATTAAAAAAATATAATTTATATCATATAATACTTGGTTAGATGTGAGGACAAAAGTATTAATTATTAATGTCAAAGTATAACGGCATGAGGTCTATTGCCTGGGGATGATAAGTCTTAGGTGCTTGAATATATTATGAAAAAAAAAGGTGCATAGATGAGACTATAGATTTTAGAAATAAAATTGGGTGGCTAAAACTGAAATTTGAGACACACATAAGTAGTACGGGCACTCTGCAACAAAAAAACATCAAGGCAATCTAAAACTTGGAAGGAATAGATTGGAGTACTGAGCAATAAATAAATCATTAATAGCCAAGTTGAGTGCGAAAAGAATAAGAATAATAGGATGGATGTATGGTAGAAATACAAAAGAATAAATGAAAAATACGTTAATGAGAGAGACAATGGGAGCAATACCCATTGCAAATAAGACTAGTAGAAAAAAATTTAGGGAGTTTAGGCACGTGCAATGGAGAATAAAATTTACTAATAGAGGGGGTAAACATAAATGATGCAAAATGATTAGAAAGGAAAAGTTAAAGACCCAAATTAAGTTAGCACCTTAAGTTCTATGGATCATCAAACGAAATACGAAAACATAAAAACCTCCAAATTAATCTACAAAGTACTAATTATTTTCAATCATTCATTTGACAACAAAATCGTAATAATATTTTATTTGGATAAGGGTAATTTTGTAAAGTTAGTAGCCTTTTATAATAAAAGATTTTTATGCAAATTCCAAGAACAACATCATAATGAACATCAGCGAGATGAGAAAGAACTTTTCGATACAGTCCAAAACTATAATAACAAAAACTTCGACTCTAGATAATTAAATGCAGAAGTTTAGCTCACCTCTGTCTTGTAACGTGTGTCTGCAGTAGGTATTCTTAATTGTGCTTTCCAATCTTGTGAACTGAAGAATTGCAAGGAAAAAAAATATATTAATTTGAAGCACTAAACATGGAATAAATAAATCAAAAAACTAGAATATGGCTTTCTATGTTAATTTTATCGTGGAAAACAAATCAAACCGTTGTGCACTTCTTGTTCCGAAATACCTATCACGCCACAAGACCTAAAGGACAATATTACCACATAAAAACACATTATAGTAGGAAAACACTATAGTAGGAAAGAACAACACAAAAAAAAGAAACTTTACATACTAGCAACAAAAATGAAATCCTATGTGAATGAGCATACATATTTAACAACCCATATTTAAAAATGGAAAAAGAGAATGAAGTACGAGCCTTCTTTCTGAATTTTAATAATAAAAATATATAAAGATGTGGAAGAGCAGGTAAAGTTTTTGAATGAAATCCTATGTAGGTTTATCTCCAGTAATTATTCATATCAAGTAGAATCACTCAATCAACTGCCACAGTTCTATAAGGAGAAAGCTAAAGGACAAGTGAAACTTTTTGGGAGGGACAACTTCCCTATAGTACATTGAAGAATAAAAGAGAAATTTTAAGTAGGGGGTTCCCCATAATATTCGCTAATTCAGGCAAACCATAAAAGGAATAAAAAGCTATCTTAAGCACAACAAAAGCTAAGCAAACTAGTTGAGATTGCGGAGTCCATCTGCTAATAACAACATCAGACTGTTGCGAACTTACATTTAAAATTGTTCAAGAAATGTGTCCCCACACTGGTAAGTGATTCACTCCACGAGCCGCTTAAAACCATGGTTTAAGGTTTCAATTCAAAAAGATATTCTTTCTAAAATAAAATAATGGAGCCATACACCAAATTCATCCTGCCCTATGCTCAATAAAGCATTGACTACACTGCAAATTAGACAAGTACTGCATAAATTTTTCAATTCACCATCATGAATGCCCTTCCCAAAACTATATCTTGTAACATCAACTGAATTCATTGCTAGAATTACCACAGTCGATTAACACAGTAGCTCTAAAATTTTTTTTACATATAGGCAATATGGTTATGGTCCTCAAATTGTGATCTCAATGCAATTTGTATTACAATAGAGGAATAATTCCATCAAGGATAAGTACTTTCTTCCTAGAGGAAAGTAGAACATTCAAACCGATGTGTATTTAAAAGCCATGTCCTCCCTGCTCAAATTCTCATCACTCCAAAGTAGATTTTTTGAAATTAATGTTGCAATAAAAAATAAATACAATGCCCTTTCCAAAAAAAGAAAATGAAAAATAGTTTATTGGACATCATCATTTCATTAGCCCAATTACTATATACATTCCAATGAAAGCAAGCTATCGAGGAAAAGGGGCTATAAAAGCCCATAGTTTTAGAAGGTTTCAATTCAACGACCTTCTATAGACTTTAGTTGAACATTGGCATCACTGGCATGTCTTTTTAGTCTCCAGTTTTTATTTGACTCAAAAAAACTAAAGCCATTCTAATTGACATGTCATCTATTTTGATATCAAATGACCACTTTATTTTCTCTATTTCAAATCAATTCTTCTAAAAATAAGCTAACTAGGAAGAAAGAGATGCCATGCAAGAAGAATGGGTGGTTATTTTAAGCACAGATAGGAGAGAATGAAATGAAATGCTTGCCTTGCGCGAGAAAAAATGGCAACACATCGACGCAAAAACCTATTTGCCCTGCTAGTAAAGTTGGAAAACCTAAATAAAGGTGAGACACTTAAAATAAGAACAGCACTTTCATCTTTCAATTCTCTTTTACAATCCATCAAATGTCATGTTAGTAGAGCAAAACCCGCATGCCTACATAGAGCCTAACATATTAATAGATGAGCATACATCAACCCCAAAGCTTAAACTAATGGTAACTCTACCCTTATTTCACTTCTAATGTGGCTCAATTTTTCACTCCCTTGTGGATATCAGCAATCACCCCTTCACATTAAAATCAAACATTTTAGGTTATGGCACCATCGCAAACCATAATCAAACAATTGTTGCTTTAAAGAAAGTAAAAGGACCGTATTGTGGACCATCCAAAGGGGTTGTCTGTCATGCAAGCCATAGCACTCTGTACAACTGTTAATAAACTCAGTAATATGAAAAAAGAAGTCCTTTATTCAGCTGAATCAAAAGAAGCTCACAAAAACCATTACACATAATCCGCTTTCATGTTTCTTCTCATACCTGGAATCAATGGCATCAGAGGAAACAGATTTCACCAACTCGCTAGAACCAGAACGTCTTTCCATCTGATTCCTCCTCAACCATTGCTGCTGCTGCTGCTGTTGCTGGAACTGTTGATTCTGCTGACTCTGTGTGGGATTTCTCTCGACGTACTGATTGTGAATCCGAGATCCTCGTGGGTAAACGTTAGCACTCGGCTCAGCGCTGCCTCCTCGGCCATTGCCAATGCCCGAAGGATAACTTCCTCTAGCGTTCATCAAGACGTGCTTACTGATTACACAAATCAAAAGTAGCAATCAGTATAAATAAATAAATTTTCGATCGCAGGAAAAATAGTGAAAGATTTATTAAATCAAATATCCTCACCGAAGCCTTACCTGAACCAAAAGCTCTTGCTTCAACTGCAAGTGCTTCCAAACCCTAATTAGAAGCGAGACCTGTGCGGATCAGAGGATTGAGAATTGCGGGCTGAAAATGGGAGAGAAAGGAGTTGGAGGAAATTATATTTCCTTTGAACCTCAAAATAGCATCAGTTGACGCCGGCATGACTTCTGGGTACTCGTTTTCTCTGGGCATCTCTCTTCATTATGATGAGGGTAAGAAAATAGATTATGAATTATGATTAATGAGCCAAATTTTAGTTTAATTTGCTAAACTCATTATAATGAGTTTAGCAAATTAAACTAAAATAATGAGTTTAGCAAATTAAACTAAAATTTGGCTCATTAATCATAATTCATAATCTATTTTCTTAAAGAATGGTCTGAAGCTATGATACCAGCCCCCTAAGAACCTCATATGTCTAACTATTCGAGGACCGCTCTCATCACCAAAAACTGATCAGATGTGGATTCAAATTCATGACCTGAGATGACTGGAGGCACTTATATAATGTCTCCTTGTAAATACAATGTTTATTAAATTATGAACAAATAAATCTTATTATTGTTAATGAAAATCTATCATTTATATCATACAAAATAGTAGCCTTACATTTAATTTAGCTCCTGTGATTTTAAATGTCTATCTTTAACTTTGAAGGGTGAACTAACCTTGACAATATAAGTTAGAATCCACATCATACCATATATAATATTTTCTAAAATCAAATTAAACTTCAAATTATACTTTGACCTTCTACTTCATATGCTTCTTTTCTTCTTGTAATTCACTTAAAAATCCCATTGGTTTTTCACTTAGCTGTTTGATAAGCTTTTTCTCTATTTTATATTTTTTATCGCTTGTTTTTTTTTCCTACTCTTAATCATATGTTTAAGTTATTAAAAAAATATAAACGCAAACTGTCATTAAAATTAATTGTGAAATAATTAAAGAGTTCTTAACGGATATAGAATATCATCAATAATTAATATTAAGTTTCTATGTTTTTGTATTGATTGTGGAGATGTTGATAATATATTTTAAAGTGAGGAAAAAAGCGGATGTCATTTGCTCATAATATAGTTTGAATTGGCAATGCCTCTTAAGAAATTAAGAAATTGTTGGAGTAGAGTTCGAAAATAAGGAGCATGGAATTTGTATAACATAAGCCTAAATGTACAATATGTACTTAAAGTGAAAAATGCAATTAATAGATTCAAAATTAATAGAAGAACAGATGATATATAGATATGATAGCTTAAATATTTTAAATTTATTATACTAAATAATAAAGTTAAGATATGAGTTTAACAGATAACAAGGGAGTATGTACAATTTGAATAATTATAAATTTGATATGATTATCTTATATGAAAAGTTGATTATTGCGAAGCATGCATCGATCTCTACGTAAAAATTAAAAAGAAAAACTCTTTCAAGTAGTCTAAATCAAAACAAATCTATCTTATCAGAGATATATACAAGCTCTTGAGGTTCTTAAGAACTTAAAGTAGTTTGGATCATATATATTTTTCAAAAAAATCAAACAAATTTTATTAGATAATATACGATATTTTATTAAATCCAAAAAACATGATGAAGCATGAATTTGACCTTTCTTATATTTTAGCATAAGGCTTGCAGGAAATTATGTTAGAAATATTTGTTCACAAGCAAAATTTATATCATCTAAATACTCAAAAGTGGAGGAAGGCCAAAACAGGTAAAAGTCTTGAGTTAGTCACATAATAAGTCATTTTAAGCTTTAATGTAAGGTCATCTAATATTTACACACAAATATGATTGGATTTTTATCTTGTTTGCAGCAAAAAGTTTAAAGTGTAGGTAATCTAATATATTGTCAACATGACTTCTAAAAAAAGATATTTTAGAAGTTAGAATTAATTGTATATCACTCAAAAAAATGAATATGCGTTTTTTTTTTAACAATAATGTTGATCCATAAATACATAGGTAGATGGTAATGAAATATTGGATTATTTAATTAGCTTCATAATAAATGGTTTATATTTAATCATTTGCATAGGCTAATCTAGTTGTATAAATGGTGTATAATTTATTCTTCTTATAAATTTATATAGTCCTTCAAATATTATTAATATAATTATGTTTTCATATACATGTTTTGATTGAACTATGTTGATCAAAAGTTATATTTTATTGCATTATAATTTTTATAATTATACTTTATTGTGTAAATCTACAACCCATTGTGTCATAGCTATTTTCATTATTTTGAATTGTATTAAATATATAGTTTATTGTATTGTAGCTTATTCAAACATCATTTGAATAGATTAAAAGATGACTATTGTATAAGAGTTGGTATGGGAACTTTATATGAGTAGTTTTAGAAGGTAGTTAGTAACTTATATTATTAATTTTAAGACATCTATCGAAATTGGTGAGGTATCTGAGGTACAATTGCACAAGTAGGAGAGTGTGAGTAGTCTCAACAATGTGTGGATGTTTGTGTTCAACTACAACATTCTAATCGAGTCTGTAAGGGTAGTTGAGTTGATGTGTGATCTTGTAAGTGGCAAGATAGGATTTAAAATGATTAGATTTGTATTCTCCTCCCCATGAAAGTGTAAAGTTTTGATTTTTGTAGTAAATGAAGTAGAAAATAGTTCACGAAATTGAATGAAATTTTGTGGTACTTCAAAGTATCCAAAAAATGGAAAATTCCAAGAAAAGATAGAATTTGGAATGGTCTCTGTACATCCAAATGCACTAATTTAAACATATTTTGAGACCCACTAATATAATTTAAGAATGAAAATTTGTGATTATTGGACTCATTAAAACTACGACATATATTGAGATGCTGGCAGGAGAAAAAGGCGGAATAATTTTGTTGGGTTGGAAAGAGGCGGTTAAATGTTTTAATGTGGATGAACTTGATATCAATTTCATCTGGAGGAAGTAATTGTAGAACTTAGCATGCAAAACGTTGAGATTATTTGCAGTCCACTAGAATTGTAAATTGTTAGGATAAACATGTTTTTTTATCTCAATCCTTAATAGAAAAGACAATGACATGGAAAGAAATACAAAAATTTCTTTTAACAATGAGGTTATGAATAAAGAGTATATTATAAGAAAGCTTGGGAATATGATAAACATGGGATAATTTCTACCTTCAAATTAGGATTGATAGTAATCTACTTATTGTGCAAGTAATAGAAATTGAGTTAATATCTCATATAATTACAAGTTTTTTTTCCTAATATAAGGTTGTTTGTTGTAAGTGTACTAGATTGGAAGCTAAATGGGATGAAGTCCTTGAGTCCAAGCATGAAGTGGAGGATTGAGGGGTAATATTGGCCAATAGAGCTAGTTTGGACTACTTTTAGAATATGGTGAATAGTTTCAATTCAATTTATGCTAGTAGTTTGTTGTTGTATAGCCTTGTCTGAGGTTGGGATTTGGGAAGAGTTTTGTTGTCCTTGTTATGTTAAAGATTTTGAGATGTTTGTTTTATTATAGTAGTTATAGGACCCTCTTCTTCCTTGAGGCCTTTTTATGTTGTCGTTAGTGGAGGTTGCTAAAAGAAATGGTAAGCTGCTTTGTTCATTAGCATTTTTAACAACTATATTAATTTATTCACTTATTAATAATGAATATAGATTATCTAAGCTAATTGGATCAGGTCAAATATGGATGGTTGTTTTCATGGCTTAATAAGAGAGTAATAGTCCATTGAGAATATATGGAACCATGTTTTCACTATCAAATTGGGAACCAATGTGATCATGTCAATGGAGATTTGATCTCAAATTAATAATGTTGTTCTTTAAGAAGACATGATGTAACTCATTTTTAGTTGAATAGTGTGATATATGTTGATTGAGTGTAATTGCTTTGCAAGAGTTTGTTAGATGATAGATGAGGAGTATAAATTTAGGACATCTTTAAGATGGATGTCGCGATTGTGAAGTACAAGGTTGTGCCTAGGTTTCTTTATCTATAAACATCCAAGCGGTATAGTTAAGCTTATAAGTGGAATGTACGGTTGAGTCAAATAAGTATTTTGGAGAGCATGTGCATGATCCATTTATGAAGGATTAAAATTTATTAACTTTAAATGGTTTAAAATACGGGGAACTCAATATTAGATATATTGTTGGATTAAGGGCGACATTTATTATTGCTTTGATAGTGTTCTTCAGTAACTTCTTAGAAGAAACTATAGTGAGCTATACAGTTTTAACGGGTTGTAGGTGTCACACTCCGCCTGTCTAAGCAGAATGGAATTCACGGAGAACCAAACATGAGGGTATGAGTTAATAATTAAATAATAATAATTTAAATCAGCATAAACCATATTTCAATAATATTTTGTCTAGCAATAAAATTACTAGAGAATATAAATTAAAAAAATCATTTTAATTTATCCATCAAAATGTAAATTAGTTATATCTACAATATTGAATCAATAAAACAATTCTAACCTTAAATATCTCAAATTTTATACCTGGGGCGTAAGCTTAAAAGCACTTCTAATTGAGGCATAACTAGCAACTTTAAATTCCTAGTACAATTGATATGATTTGTGAGAAACAAACTCAGTAAGTGAAATCTTGTTGAGCAAAATATATGTTGCAAGGCAAGGGAATAAATACAAGCAATGAAATTATTGTATTATAGTAGTTTTAAATAACATTGAAAGGAAATTTTTAACTAAAATTATTTAAAGATACTCAACAAATGCTAAATAAATTTAATTTTTTACTATGAAATGATCATTATATCCACATGTAAACATATCGACTCACATAAGTAATAAATGTATGTTGACCTCATTTTTGGTTGAGGTCTAATGTTCCTCTTTAGTAGCCTAAGGTCTAGCCATAAGTCTAGCCATAAGACCATAAGACTTCCTGTTGACTATTCCTAGAGAACTAGAAAAGGAACCTCTTCTATACTCCTCTTTACTCAACTTGAAGTTCCACATAGTGGTCATAACCTCTAGCACTTAGTAGGTGGGGTCATTATGAGGGAGCTCAAGGAGAGTTCCCATAGGACTGTTGAACCTTAGGGTTGACCCTGAGTGTTGTTCTAAAGCTAAGGCACTCACTTCAATCACCTCACTCACAATCATTCACAAATGCAAACCAAACCCAAAATCCCAAAATTTTCTTGACTTTGATCCCTTAATACTTTTGGGATACTCATGTAGATGGTCCCCT